AACGCTACTGCTAGCAAGGGAGGTATTGTGATTTATTGTGATAGATTTGTTTTCAGGAAATGGGATGTGCAGGAGAGTGAATTTTGGCTTATGGTGATGCTTGAAGCTATTCAGGAGAGACAAGTTTTCAATATTCTGATTTTTTATGGGCCTCGTGACAGGAGGGACATATCGCCAATGAATCTAACCTCATCTGCATGATGGGGATTTTAACCTTGTCCGAGCTCATGATGATTATAGATGAGCTACTAGGAGATCTGATTTAATGGAGAACTTCAATTCATTCATTAATAATTCAAGCCTCATTGACCTCCCCATGTTGGGAGCCTCGTTCACCTGGAGCAGGGGTTGTGCTTCCCCTTCAATGTCTAGAATTGATCGATGTTTGATATGCAGCCAATTCGACTACTTATTTCAAAATTGCATACTTATTGCCTTGGACAGTGTCGTTTTGGGCCACAAACCTCTAAAACTTTTATGGGGAGAGGATAACAAGATTTATAGGCCATGGAAATTCAAAAATATGTGGCTTCTTGACAGCTCATTTGATGAGCAAGAGTGGTGGAGTGTCCAGTCCGCCGGAAGTGGAGACCTTTTCAAGCTCGGGACGAAGTTTAAAGAGTTGAAGAGTCTCATAAAAGTTTGGAACATAGAGGAGTTTGGGAAAGTGGAAAAAGGATTACGGAAATTCTGGAAAAAATTAAAGAGATCGATTTAAAGGAAGATGTGAGTTCTATCCATGAGGAGGATATCCTCGCAAGAAGCAACCTCAAATGCACTCTGAACCAAGTTCTGATCACGAAAGAGATCTCTTGGTGTCAGAAGTCCAGAGAGATTTGGCTTAAGTTTGGGGACAAAAACACAAGATATTTTCACATGATAGCCAACCATCATAAAAGGGAGAACATGGTTTCAAATATCAAAGTGAATGGTGTGATGGTTGAAGGTCGTGAGAAGTTGAAAGAAACATTTGTTGTCCATTCCACTTCCGTTTTCAAAGGAGACAGTTCCCTGCACCCTTTCCTGGATCGGTATGATCATTACAAGGTTTCTGATGAAGACGACAAGGCTCTCACAAGACCTTTTATGGAAGAAGAAATTTAGAAGGTGCTTAAGAGATGTAGAGGTGACAAAGCACCCGGGCCTGATGGCTTCTCCTTCTCTTTCTTCAAAAAACAGTGGGGGTTGACCAAAGAAGATGTCTTGAAAGAGTTTAATGATTTATATTCCAATGGGAAACTTACAAAGTTCATCGCCCATTCCTTTGTTTGCCTCATCCCCAAGAAAGAGGCAGTTGAGGAGATCAGAGACTTTCGACCTATCAGCCTCCTTGAGAGTGTTAATAAGTTGTCGTCGAAGACTATTACTGAAAGACTTAGACCATTACGATGAAGGCTGTTTCTGGTAACCAATTTGGAGGTTTCAAGGGATGAAAATCCACGAGGCCTCTTTGATTTCAACGAATTGATCGATAGTAAAAGGAAGAGTGACAATCCGAGATTGGTTTTCAAGCTTGACATTGAAAAATCTTTTGAAAACGTCAATTAGAATTTCATTTTCAAGATCTTGGACAGTTTATGCTTTCCACATAGGGCCAAATTATGGATTAAAGGGTTAGTTACCTCCCCTATTCTCTCGATTCTTGTTAATGGAGAAGCTGTCGGGTTCTCAATATTCTGAAAGGTCTGCGCCAAGGTGACCCTATGTCCACTTTCCTCTTCCTCCTTATTATGGACGTTCTTTCTATTATGTTGGAGACTCTTAAAGGAGAGGATTGTTTCCTGGTTTCTTCATGGATGAAACTAATTTAAGAGGGGAAGTGACTCACCTTTTGTATGCCAACAATACCATCATTTTTTGTGAAGTTCACGAGGACCAAGTGTCGAACCTATTGTCGACCTTAGTGTGTTTCCAAGATGTTACTTGGCTAAGAATCAACGTTGAGAAGAGCATGATGTTCATTGTGGGTGATGTTCAGAACCCAGATATATATGTAGGCATTTTTGGCTGCGGTTGAAGTTGCCTCCCAACCATCTATCTCGGCCTTCCTCTCGGTGCTAGTCCTAACTCCTCGACTATCTAGAATAGTGTCATGGTGAAATTTCAGTCGAGACTCGAGGGTTGGAGAAGCAAGTTCTTATCTCTGGCGACCACATCTGACATCACCTTATGCAAAATCTTCCTGTCAAGTCAACCCTTGTACTAGTTTTTCATGTTGAGAGCACGCAAAGCAACTATATGTAAGATGGAGAAGTAGCATCATAATTTTAATTGGTATGGTGTTTAGGACAAGAGTAAGTACCACTTGGTTCGATGGAATCTGTGTAAAGCTACTAAGGATATAGGTGGACTGGGGTTTTTGGATCTTGCTGGAATGAATTCGACTTTTCTTGCTAAGTGGTTCTAGAAATACGCCATGGAGCCAAACTCGTGGTGGCTCCAGCTCATTGTACCGAAGTTTCCAAACCCCTCATCTATCTAGAGAACCGGTTCTGGTTCCGGCCCTTTGGGCTGCTCGATGTGGAGGAAGATCGTTAAGGAGGAAGCTTCATTACGGAATTTTGAGCATGTCACCCTTGGGGTTTGTGCCTGGGTGTCCTTGTGGATGACTAATGGCTGTCGGGAGCAATTCTTAAAGATGCTTATCCTAGAATTGTTGCTGCCACCTTACTCCAAGATGCATGGGTATCTGATGTTATATCCTTTGACAATAGGGATGTGGAGAGGGACTTGCATTTATCAATTACCTTAAGGGGTGGGGCTGAGAGAGAGGCTTAATCTTATTCATAATCTGTTACTTTTACCTTATGGTTTAATCTCTACAGGTCCTGCAAAGATCATATGGAACCCATGTTCGAGTGGTGGTTTTTCTGTGAAATCCATGTATGGAGTTCTTAATCATGTGAGATTCCCAGGTGTCAACGACTTCCCTTACAAAGTGGTTTCGCAGCCCCTTGTCCCTATGAAGGTCAAGGCCTTCCTATGGTTGCTTAGGCATGGGCGGGTGCTTACCCATGAAAATATAAAGAAAAGAGGATGGAGATTCACTAGTAGGTACTTTCTTTGCAATGCGGATGAGGAAAACATCAATCATCTATTGTGGTCGTGCTTCTATAGCAGCAACATTTGGAATGCTCTTCAACAGATGGTGGAGATCAATGGTCCCTTTCCTGCCGATGTTGCTGCCATCATTAACGACGTAAATGTGATTAAAAGTGGATCAATTGATCGATACTAGCTCTTGAACCCTCGGAAAACCTCCAAGCAATTCAACTAAATTCACAAAGCGAAAGCTCAATGAACAAAACTCAAACATGAATTCAATCTTAATAAAAACTGTCTTACAATGCAATGATAAACGAGTTTAAATAGGCCTAGCTACGTTTACAAGCCAAAAGGAAAACCTAATTACATTAGAACACGAAAACAAAACACTCAAAACTAAAGAGGAGACGTAATCCTAATTTGAGAAGGATTCAGATTGCTTGGGGTGCAGACTTCCAATGCGAGACTCTATACGATCTCCACACATTTGATCGAAGCCTTCCAGGTATGCTTTCGTTCATCCAATCACTTTTGGTTGTAGTAGAAAACACCTACTTTCATGTGGCACAACCCCCTTGACTTGACTCTCATTCTTCCATCTCAAATAAGCCTCGAAAGTTGGGTTCCTGAACTGATTCTCGTACTTAGCCGAATTCTGGCAGTTTTTTGTTTTGGCAGAGTAACTTGAATGACTTGGAAAACAATCTTGCAGACTTGTTTCTGACCAGGAAAGCCTTCAATATTGTAGAGTAACACTTTAACTCAAATCTAGGCATTCGCTTTGAATTTCCATCGAGCAATTTGTGAGAAACAAGCTTGCAAAATAGGTACCCTGAAACAAAATAAACACTTAGACAATTTTCAGGGTGCTTGTGAGTTAGTGAAATTGCCTATTGTTCAAGCAATTATAGATTGTAGATTGATTCATTTGGGATCATATCATATTAGGGTCTGGGCTATCGCTTAATGGGATCGGTCTGTCACATGCTTGGGTGGTGAATTTCGGGTCCGATGGATAAAGTTTTTCAAGTGGACAATGAAAAGAAGACAATGAGGATTCAAGCCGAGGTAAGGGTTCAAGCTAAGATAAAGGTTCGACAGCCACTTTAGGACGATCTTCTAATCATGGATGGCGGTGATGGTGGAAGAAAATGGGTAGGGTAAGGAATTATAGGAACTTAAGTTTCATTTTATTTTTTAGGGTAATGTCTATTTTTTATCCTAATTTTTTTCAGATTCTTTTATATTATCCAAACCTATTAAAATTCTATTAGTTATCCAAATCTTTCATAATACATCAAAATATTAGCCATTTTTATGTTATCGTTAATAATTTTATAACTCTTTTCTTAGTTAAAATACTAAACTTTTGGAATGTTAACTTTCATGAGTCTCTTTCAAGTCAGTATCATGTTTGCTAAGTCAATATCACTAACAAAATTGCTAACTAGAATTTAGTATTTGGCTAATTCTTAGTATTTTGATAGGTTTGGATAATATAAAAAAATCTGAAAAAAGTTTGGATAAAAAATATACATTGTCCTATTTTATTTTATTTTTATAATGGTGAAAGACATTGCCCTATTTTTTAATAGTTGTGAAAATGAGGTGCAAAATCTAAAAAATAAAAAATATATATTTATTTTTTAATTGCCACGTCAGACACTTGTAAACAATTATGAAAGTTGATTATCACATCAAATAAAGTTAATAGAGTTATAGAGTTAAATATTTAACATACATTATTGAAAAAAAATTTAGTGATCTCAATATGGAATAAAATATTTTTAGTGAAAAATATGAAATATTGAAACGATTTTGTAAACTCAGTTATGTGCGCATTTCAGTTTGCCTTCACTCGTTTGGTACGTTCGACCTCCGTTCCATTATCCATGTGATGTTCAGAGATTTAGCCACAGTCCACAGATCACAATTCCTTCGTCTGCCCGTTTCCAATGGCGGCTGCTTCCACACTCTCACTCGCTCTCACGCCCACCTCTTCAGATCCATCGCTTCCCTCTTCCCGCCACAGATCACGACTCTTCCTTTCCCCTCTTAGTCACAATCCCCATTTCCTCTCATCGCAGAGGTCCCGATTTCGTCTCAGCCCTAAATCATCCTGCACCTCCGCCTCCTCGCAGTCTCCTCCCTCCGTTTCCGATGAACCCACTAGCAGCAGCGCCTCCGCTGCGTATTCGAGCCTAGAGGACTGGTTGAAGACAGGGAATTACAATTTCCTCAGCAATGAAGAGCTTCTCAAGCTCCAGAGCCTTCAGGACTTCCGGTATCGTCGGGAACTGGGAATCGGGTCTCTTTGCATTCGGGTGATGAGGCCGGACGAGACCGATGTCACTGTCAAGTTGCTCTCCGAGTCCTTTGTGGAGTCCATGAAGCTGCCAGATTGGTACTTGCCTTTGGTGAGCTACTTGGTGAAACAGTACTTGTTTGAGAGGCGAGCCGCTATTCCCCATGCCGTTACACTTCTAGGGTTCGTTAAATGGAAAGATGGCGGCGGAGGCGGGGGTGGAGAGGAAGAAGCGGCGGAGGCGGAGGAGGAGGAGGAGGAGAAGGGGAGTTAGCTGGGACCGTGGAAATTTGTTTCAATAAGAGAGGGGCAAATGATTCTCCTCCCACGCCAACACCGCCGAAGGATTCTCCCTATATCTGCAATATGACTGTGAACAAGCCACTTCGTAGGTAACGATTTCAAAAACTCATCGGCTGTTCTTGCATATAGTTGGTACTTGGTAATATGAAAGCCTTTAATTATACAAATTGATTCCTGGCTTTGTTTGGTAATGTAAAAGTTCCGATCTTTTTTGGTTTAAAATGTACCTATTGCGGTAGCTCTTAGGAGACAAAGGCTGGGGATTGGCGTTTATATGTTGATAACCTTCTTTAGATGGAGGAAGGGTCATGGTGCAAGAAAGCTGACCGTGAATTTACTCTTCTATATTCTGGCTTCATATAATCTGACATCCAGGGGGTTAGTTTCCCCAGAAACGTTGTGTCAAGTAATGCAACGTTCATCCCTTCCCCTCCTACCCTCCTGTAATCTACCCTCTCTTCCCCTCCTGTAATTTTACCTCTGGCTAACGCCTCCAATCAATCAAAAAAAAAAAAAAATTATAATCTGAGTTAAATCCTCGGTTGAGAGCATTAGTGGTGTCATTCAATTTGCTGGCTTTGCTGGCTTTAATGCTATTGAGTTGGACATTGGAATTCGTATGATGGCCCCTCTTCACCGTGAATCTATAATGGATAGGGATTGGCTGTGCAAGAATATGGTTGACTATATCTTTGCTGTTTTCCCTTTCCTCAATCTAAAGATATTAATTGCTTCATTTGTGGGTGATGGATACTGAGTTGAGCTCTCAGTTGGGAGCATTTGTGGTACTAGGTATTCTTGAATTTGATAGATTCTGTTGCATCTCGCAGTTTTGGTAGGTTGATGGATTGGATTGAAACAGACTTGATCTCTTGTTGTGTGCATTTGGATCTTTCAGGAGGGGAATCGGTTGGAATCTTTTGAAAGCAAGTGAGGAGTTAATTTCCCAGATGAGCTGTGTAAGGGAGGTGTATTTGCATTGCAGGATGGTTGATTCTGCTCCCTTTAACATGTATACAAGAGCAGGGTATAATGTTGTTAAGACAGATAGCATATTGGTATTGCTGCTGTTGCAAAGTCGTAAACATTTGATGTTAAAGAAGCTTCCAGTACCGACAAACGATTTAGAACTTGAAATGTCAGGCTCTGACCCAGAACATGTGCAAGTGGGAGCATAAGTTGCAGCATATATTTCAGAGGTACTTGCATAGACACAATAGCATCTGTTCCATTTCGTGCACATCTTTAGTTTAGTACCTTCCTTAAGGGGTTTCTTTTGCTTGATGTCCTATTGCATTTGCATATCCAGGATATGCTCTGGATCTTAGTTCTGAGTTTGTTCTGCTCATCCAGCGGTAATTGCAAGGGGCAGCATCACTTTCTTGCTCCAGACTGCAGTGTGTAATTGAAGCCTAGTTGTACCGGCATGTTCTTGTTATCTTGTCAACGCCGGCTAGACAGAAAACCTTAAACAAGATGATATCAAAGCAACAAATCTTGTTCCCCCATAGTTGAGGAGATGATGGGAGATAGGACGAAATGATTTGTTTATGTCCCGGCAAAGCATATATTACATTTACTGTGGCAGGGGAAATGTTGATGCTAGGGAAGCAATATGCAGAAGAAAACATTCTTAACATTGCTTCCATTTCTTTTTGTTGATATCCTTAGCTGTAAGCCTGACTAATAATTGACTCAGGATGCACGTTTCTTCCATTGCTCTCAGTCTGTTGTATGTAATGAATGCTTGTATTTCACAATTACCTTTTCTATTTATAAGAGGAGAGGAAGAAAACATCTTCCTTGTTGATAATGCACAGTTGCCCTCTTGTCTTTAATAAATAGGCACAACTCTTATGAGAGAATTTTGAAGGAGCTCCCTCCTATTCCTAAGTTCTTTGTGTTATTCGTATATATAATCACTTGGAGTTCTTTTACACATTCAGCCATGGAAGGTCTCTCATTGCTTTCTGTCCGTACGCAGCGTGATGCCAAGTTAGCAAACATGGCTACAGATTCCAGCGAGTAGGAACTCCTTGGCATATCTGGATCAATCACTCTTCTCAGCTTCTTCCGATTGTTCAGTATGTGCCTAACCTAAATGACAAAAGATCATCCATTTAATCAAATAGTGAGTCTCCAGAACTTATGCTCTTCAGAAGAAAGATGAAATTTTGAATTTTCTCACCTGCAGAACAAGGTTCTGGTCAGTTGGTCCTTGGTTTAGGTCCACAGCTCGACGTCCTGTCAATAATTCAAGAAGAACCACTCCAAATGCATAGACATCACTTTGTAGAGTGAGCTTTCCGGTCTGCAGAAAAGGAGCAAAGTGAAACCCTTGTTTCTTTCTTTCTAGCTAGTTGAATTGCGGAGAACAAGAACAAGTATCTGAGAGCTGGTCATTTCGGTTTGTGGGTGGTGGTCCTACTGCAGCTACTGTGAGTTTGATATTCCAGTTTTAGTTCTCAGCTTTGTGTTACTCTAGCTTATTACTCCAAAGGGAGTTTTGAACCACCTACCGACGTATACTCTGGATCAAAATAGCCAAATGTGCCAAGAACCATAGCAGTGGCGTATATCTCCTGGCCCTCTGGCATCAACTTAGCCAAACCGAAATCAGAAATCTGCAAGGAATTGCCATAAGAAGTTCAGTGGAACCATTCTCATTTCAGGTCTTTTCCCCTTCAGAACATGTGAGAACGAGTAAATATTATTCACCTTGGCTTCAAAGTTGTCACCGAGAAGAACATTGGTGGATTTGAAGTCTCTGTGAACAATCGGTATACCAACGGCAGACGGTGAATGGAGATAAGCAAGTCCTCTTGCAGCACCAATTGCCACTTTTAGTCTTTGTGTCCAGTCCATCTTTGCTTCCCCTATTCCTGCAATGAAAATTGCAGATAACTTAGAAACAACAACCTGAACGGTTTGAAGTAATGGTGCAGAACTTTATAACGATGAATATGGAAGTTACCATTCAAGTGATCTTGCAGATTGCCATTTGACAGATACTCGTACACAAGAAACCTCTGCTTCCTATCAGCACAATACCCTATCAAGGAAACCAGATTCGGATGGTCTAGTCTGCTCAAGATATCAACTTCGACACGAAACTCTCTTTCCCCTTCAGCTTCTTTAAACGAAGGTAACTCCATCTTCTTGATTGCTACTACCTGCAAAAGTCAAAACCCACCTTCTTCTTCTGCTTGAGATGTGGGTTCACTTGTACCCCTTTTTTTGGGTACCTTGACCAACTTGATTGTATAACAGACTTTTTACCTCTCGAGATCGTAGAGTTCCTCTGTACACTCTGCCAAACCCTCCTTTCCCAAGAAAGTTCCCCTCACTAAACGAGCAAGTAGCATCCTCCATTTCCTTAAGAGTGAAGATCGATGATCCATGGCGTCGCTTCGTGGGTTGGGCAGTTTGATCCTCTAGCTTCCAGTACTCTACAGGCCTGTATACCCCTGGAAACCACGTAGAGATGAAAACATCTACCAAGCTACAGAACTTTCTCGAAAAGAAACTTCAAGTTTGCAGTAAGGGTGATTTTGCAGGAATGGGAAAACATACAGGGGTCACTGTGATCCTGGGACTTGCTTCTCCTTCTCTTGTTCCAAGCAGAAACCAACCCGAAAGGCATAATTCCTCCTTCCCTCTTCCCTGGAAATGCATAAGAAGAGAGAAGAAAAGAACAGAGATCCAAAAACCAGCTTTGGCTTTAAGGATTTGAATCCGAAAGCAGTGTTAGGTGAAAGGAGCAAATGGGTAGAGAGAGGATTTCAGGTCTCATCAGAAGTTTGCGTTTTGATTCTCTTGAGAAATGAGAAGTCACCTGACTGAAGATCAGTTTGATTAAGATTTTTTTTGAAGCTCAGTTTGATTGAGATTAAGCTGAGCGGAAGCAAGCGTATATGAAAAGGGTAGGTTTCAAAGAATTCTTTTAAGTAGGTGGTGAGTAAGGAGAATCCTCGGATGAGTACGTATGGAGCAAGTGAAAGGTGGTAGCTTCAAGACAATGTACTCTTGAACTACTGGACAGAGGAATGTGCTTGCAGAGAACGTAAACCAGCAGAAGAAGGAAGAGAAGAAAAGAAAGGTGGGTAAAATGGGTTTGGGGGAGATGTGGATGGTGGGACGTAAATGTGTTGAATTGTTGTATCGCTTCTCCTGAAGCTCAAGAGACTCGAATGAAGGAGAAGAAAAGGGTGTAGCCGTTGGGATGCAGCTTTCATTTGGTATTTCAACTGTTTCTGGTTTGTTTGGAGGTTTTCCTTTTTGCTGGTGGCGCATTAAAAAAAATATTCATTTCTTTCCCCATCGTTTGACGTATTAAGCATCACCATTGTTTTGTGGAAGGTTGCTAAAAAAAAATATTCATTTCTTTCCCCATCGTTTGACGTATTAAGCATCACCATTGTTTTGTGGAAGGTTGCTAAAAAAAAAAAATCATTTCTTTCCTCATCGTTTGGCGTATTTCTCCGGTCACTGCTCCATGCTGCCGTTGTTGCTCTTTGGGAGCCTTCTCCTTCTGATCATGCGCGAATCCTCCAACCAGCCCATGTCGTTGACTCCGTTCCACAGAGCGCATCCATTCCTCCTACAAGTACGGCTGCGTCGGAATTCCCTCGTGTCCTCTTTTGTCGTGGCGCTCAATTGCTTAACCACCCGTCTACAATGCATCTCTTTGCCTTCACTCCCTTAACGTTACCCACAACAACCGACACCAGAGGTGTAATTAACCATAATGGCCCTTTCAATTAGTCCTTCAAAGCACTCGTCGGTTATGCATTCCATCTATTTGATTAATTAATGATTCTCGGGAAATTTATTTCTTCCCCGTCTGATAAAACGACACAGTTTTGCATTTTGATTTAGTTGATTTTTCATATCCAATCTATGATCCAATCCAACCATGTATTTATTACGGGTGAACCTAAATCTAAATGTCGGGGTGTTACAATTTCCCCCACCCCCAATTGGAGGATTATAGGTTTAGTGCTCTAGGTGATTTTTGTTGCATGAACGTTTCCAAGAAGTTACCTTGAAGTGTATGTAAGTGCAGCGACCATTGAATTCCATGCTAGCTTGAGCGAGTCCTCTCAACTTAGAAGATAGGGAAACCTTTTTAACTTGCATAGTAATATTTGGTATGATTGTATTCAATTTGAGTTCTTAATTGTTATAAACGCGCTGCTACGGATCGGGAAATCGCCGGGATCGACAAAGCAAGAATACGAAAGCGAGAATCGAAAACACGGACACACGATTTACGTGGTTCACTAACACGATGTGTGTTAGCTACGTCCACGGGCGAGAGAGAGCCAGTTTCACTATATCTGAGGAGATTACAGATTACAGAGGAGTATGAGAAGTATTTATAGTACTTCTCCATGTGGGTCTAAACCTAATCCAATCTAGCAAAGGAAACGGTTACAGACCAGGCCCAGAACCCGAACCCAAATAACAGCGAGACCCCCGATTACCAGTCGTAGCGGCTAATAGTCCGATTCAAGTCATATCAACAAATCTCCACCTTGACTTGAATCCTCTTCCTCTGAAATCTCTGATGTACTCTGCTCCTTCTCTCTCTCCCGCCATCAATGCCCCGTAGGGCGGAGTCACCCACTCAAGACATTCAGCAAGTCCAAGCAGTGTTGGAACTTGCCATGTGGAACCGGCTTCGTGAACATATCAGCAGGATTATCTGCGGTGCCAACCTTCTTCACCTTAATCTTCTTCTCTGTCCTCAAGAAATGATACCTCACATCGATGTGCTTAGTCCTCTCATGGTGGACTTGATCCTTGGCCAAGCATATTGCACTCAAACTGTCGCAATACACCACTGCCTGATCATGATGTAGACCAAGATCACCAACCAGTCCCTTCAACCATATTCCCTCCTTAGCAGCTTCTGTCAACGCCATATACTCTGCCTCAGTAGTAGACAATGTCACCGCCGACTGCAAAGTTGCCTTCCAGCTCACTACAGAACTCCCAAGAGTGAATACATAACCGGTCATCGATCTCCTCGTGTCAACATCTCCAGCATAGTCCGAGTCAGAATACCCAGACACCAAGCACTCTGTATCACTTCCGAAGCTAATCCCCACATCAGGTGTACCCTTAAGGTACCGGAAGATCCTCTTCACAGCCTGCCAATGCTCCTTCCCAGGTTGTATCATAAACCTGCTGACAACACTAACAGCATGTGCAAGATCAGGTCTAGTGCATACCATAGCGTACATCAAGCTACCTACTGCACTAGCATATGGGACTCTCGACATGTACTCCTTCTCAGCCTCTGACTGCGGTGCATAGGCTGAGGATAGATGAACATTTGAAGCACTAGGAGTATTTAAGGGCTTTGCTGAAGACATGCCAAACCTCGACAGTATCTTCTGGATGTAGCTCTTCTGTGACAAGAAAAGCTTCTTCTTCGACCTGTCCCTGTAAATCTCCATACCCAAGATCTTCTGAGCAGCTCCCAAATCCTTCATCTCAAACTCAGCACTGAGAAGCCCCTTTAACTTCTGGATATCAGACTTTGACCTCGCAGCTATGAGCATATCATCCACATACAGAACTAGATATATCATAGAACCATCCTCTGCCTTGTTGTGATATACACAACAATCATATGGACTTCTGCTGTAGCCCAGCTCAAGCATGTAACTGTCAAATCTCTTGTACCACTGCCTCGGAGATTGCTTAAGTCCATACAAGGACTTCTTCAGCTTACAAACATAGTCTTCTTTTCCTGGAACCTCGAATCCTTCTGGCTGAGTCATGTAAATTTCTTCCTCCAACTCTCCATGTAGGAAAGCTGTCTTCACGTCTAGCTGCTCGAGCTCCAAGTCATAATGTGCCACTATTGCTAGTAGCACTCTGATCGAAGTATGTCTGACCACTGGTGAGAAAATCTCATTGTAGTCAACTCCTTCCCTCTGCGAGAAGCCTCGTGCAACCACCCGAGCTTTAAATTTCATGCCCTCTTTAGAAGTGATTCCTTCCTTCTTCTTGTAGATCCACTTGTTTGTAACAATCTTCCTTCCCTGTGGTCGTTTGACTAGCTCCCAAGTCTGATTCCTGTCATGGGATTCCATCTCATCTCCCATTGCGGCAAGCCACTGATCAGCTTCACCACCCGAAACTGCTTCTCTATAGGACTGTGGCTCTCCTGCATCCACTTCTTCAGCAACCTGAAATGAATACGCCACCATGTCCTCGAAGCCATACCTCTGTGGAGGTACTCCTGCAGTCGCTCTCTTCGGTCTACCGGAAGCCATAGAATGTTGAGCTCGTGCACTGGACTCTGAACTTCCTGGCTCTGCAGAGACATCCTCATCATGTTGATCTTCTCCACCTTGGTGCTCAAACTCACTCTCATTGAGAGTTTGCAGCTCCACCTGTTTATCAACATTCCTGCTACCTTCAACAACAGTAACCTTCAACATGGGGTTAAACATAGACTTCTCATCAAATATCACATTTCTACTAAGTATAACTCGATGCTCAGAAGGTGACCAGACTCGAAATCCCTTAACTCCATCTCCGTAACCCACAAATACACCCTTCTTTGCCCTTGGGTTCAGCTTACCCTCATCCACATGATAATAAACAGGACACCCAAAAACTTTCAGTGAAGAGTAATCAGCAGGCTTACCATACCACACCTCATAAGGAGTCTTACACTCGATACCTGTGTGAGGTCCACGGTTGATCAGGAATCATGCCATGTTTACTGCTTCTGCCCAGAATCTTCTCTCTAGTCCAGCATTAGAGAGCATGCACCGTGCTCTCTCCAACAATGTCTGGTTCATTCTTTCTGCAACGCCATTCTGCTGAGGTGTATCTCTAACAGTCCGATGACGGGCAATCCCTTCATCCTTGCAGAATTCGTTGAACTCAGAACTGCAGAACTCCAGACCATTGTCCGTTCGCAGCTTCTTGATCTTCTTCCCGGTCTGATTCTCCACCAATGTCTTCCACTGCTTGAACTTCGTGAAAGCCTCACTTTTCTGCTTCATCATGAAAATCCAAGTAAATCTCGAATAATCATCAATAATAGACAGAAAATACCTGCTGCCTCCAATGGATTCAACTCGTGAAGGACCCCAACAGTCGGAGTGGAGGTAATCTAGTATCCCCTTCGTCCGGTGGATACCCTTCTTGGGAAACTTGCTGCGATGTAGCTTCCCAAACACACAATGCTCACAGAATTCCAAATTCTGCACCTTGTGCCCGCAAAGAAGATCCCTCTTTGATAGAACTTGCATCCCTCGTTCACTCATATGCCCCAGTCTCATGTGCCAGAGAGTGGTCATATCCTCCTGTTGAACCTGAGACGATGCAACTGCAGCAGAACCAGACAACACAGACCCTTGTAATGCATACAAGGTCCCACGCTTCACGCCCTTCAGTACCTTCCTCGAACCCTTGCAGACATACACAACTCCACCTTTTCCTTTGAAGCTGAAGCCCTTGCTGTCGAGTAGACTCAAGGAGATCAGGTTCTTCGTCATTCGTGGAACATGTCTGACATCATTCACGGTACAGAACGAACCATCATGTGTCCGAACCTTTATGGACCCGATTCCAACAACCTTGCAGACAGCTCCATTAGCCATGACCACATTACCACCATCTATCTGCTCGTAGGTTGTGAAGCAATCCCTGTTCGGAGACATATGATATGAGGCTGCAGTATCCAGAAACCACACATCACCACGATGTGCCTTCTCATCTACAGCCAAGGCGAGATCGTCTTCAGAACTGTTGTCCACTTCTGCCACGGCAACTGAACCTTGTTTCTTCTGTTGCCCTCTTCTCTTGGGACAGTTGTACTTCCAATGCCCCACTTCCTTACAGTTGTGACAAGCATCACCTGGCTGTGGACCGGGACCCTTGGAATTCTTGCTCGAATTCCCTTTACCAGATTTCTTCTTTCCCTTTCCACCTGTAACAGCCAAACCCGATGCCTCACCACCTGTACCAGATCCGGACGCCTTATGTCTGATCTCTCTCGTATGAAGAGCAGACCTGACATCCTCCAACGACACGCTTTCTTTACCAGCAATAAAAGAATCAACAAAGTTCTCATATGAACTCGGCAAAGAAACCAGCAGGATTAGGGCAGCATCCTCGTCATCAACTTGAACATCTATATTACGCAGATCCAACAAAATAGAGTTAAGTTGTTCGAGATGTTCCCTCAAAGGCGTACCTTCTTGCATCCTCAAGCTGAACAACCGTTGCTTGAGATGCAGCTTGTTGGTTAGAGACTTAGTCATGTACAGACTCTCTAGTTTCAACCACA